TTTAAATTTGGCACGTTTATTAACAACGACAACGACGACGACAATAATAACAACAATAAAATAAAGATCAATGACACCTGCTCAGCTGTAAAAACCAGCTGATCATGATGATGATAATGACGATGATTAAGTAATAATAATGTGTGTGATCTATGCATAGTTTGAGTAGTCTAGTCTGTTTTCTTATCTTACTGATTTTAGGACAGAAATGAACAAACAAAAAATTGATTTTTCTCCTTATTTCTGTTACTTAGTTAAACAGAAGTTATTTCGAATTCGTTTACATAACACATACATTGAATTTATATTAAATTTCTTAAAATAAGGTTAAATAGTTACGATGTCACTTCATTTTGACATTGATATTTTTTTTAGAATCAATAGGTCAATTGTTTGTTATTCAACAGGAGTTAAGTGAAATTACATTTTCTGATCTAACAATAAATATTTACTGGTTGAAATCATGAGTTAATTGAAGCTAAACCAACATAGAAAACCTTGATGCACTGGACGGCCGTTCCGTCCTAGTATGGTACTCCTCACCAGTGTGCATCCACGATCCCGCACCCCGCAATATGCGAACCCAGGACCTGTCAGTCTCAAGCCAGGCGCTTAACCAACTAGACCACTGAGCCAGCTGGTATAAAGCGGTGTTAATGTCTAACGTCAACTAATCCACAAAGTTGCACCACCGTACACCACTGTCTTCAGTGAGTTCCTATTTCACGTAAGACCTGGTTGAACTCCACCGGTAACGACTTCTCGCGGGGGGCGTGCTCGTGGATGCGCACTGCAGAGGAGTCCCATACTAGGACGAAACGGCCATCCAGTGCTTCTAGGTTTTCCATGGTGGTCTGGTTTCAATTGACACATGATTTCAACCAGTGAAATTTCTAAAATCTCCACAAAACCCATTCTGATAATAAATATTTAATCGATTAGTAGAAGAAGGGTTTTTTGTGTGTAGATATTATTAGCAATTTTAGTAGTTAAGATTATGAATTAATTGAAGCTAGACTACCATGGAAAACTTGATGCGAGACCGATAGGTCTTGGGTTCGAATCTCATGTGATGGGATCGTGGACGTGGATTGTTGAAGAGTCCCACAATAGGATGAAACGGCTGGCTGTTCAGCGTTTCAATTGATTCATGATCTCAACTATGAAATAATTTTTGTAAGTAGTTAGTTTCTACAAATTTTATTTGTATTCAGTTCATTTATTAATGTTTTCTGTCAATTTTCTTTAGTATTAGAAGTGGTTTTGTGGAAATTTTAGTAATTTCAATAGTTGAAGTTAGACATTAACACCGGTCGGCTCAGTGGTCTAATGGTTAGGCGCTCGCGCGCAAGATTAATAGGCCCTGAGTTCGAATCTCGCGAGGCGGGGTCGTGGATGCGCACTGTAGAGGAGTCCCGTCCTAGGACGAAACGGCCGTCCAGTGCTTACAGGTCTTCTATGGTGGTCTAGCTTCAATTGCCTCATTTTAAGTTTTTTTCTTATACACAATAAATTACGTCTTGATGATGAAATTCAGTTTACGATTGTGTAATACAAAATAAAAGTGTAAGGTCTTTTAAGGTTCTTGATATAGTTTCATCTGTCACAGAATAGTTTTCCCATTTCAGTTCCCAGTATTTGAGGGATCATTGAAAGCATTCAGAAGTTAAACGTACCACTATTTTTCGCCCACAATTCCGTTTGGAACTTTTCTAGGGCTACTGCCGGTCCTAGGCCCGGATAAATGAGGAGGGTTGGACATGGGGTTAGCGACCCCATCCTATAGAAAACTAACTCGCTAAAAAGCGCTAACCAGAAAAAATAATTCAAACCATTTAAACTCTGTCCTGGGAGTTAGAACGTCTTTATTTCGAAGAGTTATGACGCCTCATGGTGAAAGCTGATTTGCATCGGAAGTAAAGAGGCTGATGCCACTTCTGATAACCAGAGCAACCATTAATTTAGATATATGGAATGCTCGTACAATCTGGGAGACCGAAAGACTCGTCCAAATCGCTGCAGAAATTTTTCGCATACTAATCGTTTCACAATAAACCGAACACCATCACACAAATTTGCTTGCAGACTACCTCTCAAGTTGTTGAGAATCCCCACAGTATTTATTTTGACCATAGTGAACAACACAACGAACTGTTAAATTTTCATAGATTAAATCATGAACCGATCTTAGTTAGACCCCTGATGAAAACCGGAAAGTATTGGACAGCTGTTTCGTTCAAGTATGGGACTCATAAGGATTGGATATCCACGACTCCCACCATAAGGGGTCAGACTGAAAACCTTCGGTCTCGCTTAACATGTAGACTACTAGGCTAAATCAAAATGCCATTCACTGCTTCCTGATGTTCTAGAGAAGTCCGGTCCTGGATATAAACTATGAAAATAATACGAACACTAAAAATCACGCAACATAACCTCAAACTTTGACTGACTTTTGTGATACTGTCGTTCATGGTCCTTACGTTACTTTCAATTTCTTGCTGTCAGATTTTATCTTTTCGTCATGGTCATATGATTAAATGTTTTACGTGTCCGTTGTAACAGGCTGCAATCTGAAGAACATACAACCATACCATTCACATTAGCTATATGTTATTAATAGAACCAGGTAGACCATTTATGATGTGAACCTGTAAGGATTAGGAGTATTTGAATTATTGTACAAATTAGGAATTCCATGACCTTTAATTATTATTATAACAAAAACATTTTAATCATCTTATTATAATCACTAAATTCCATAAATAGCGCAATTTAACAAAGAAGAACTAATATGAGCACGAAAGAACGTATTGTAAATGGGATTCGAAATAAGACAGTCATCAAGTACAAAGGAATTATTAGTTCATACAAACACCACAGAACCCCAGTCTACTAACCTTACATTTAACTAGCTTTTATCCCAACACAACGGATTCATCAAACTCCGAACGGAATTTCAACTAGAAATATAATTAAAAAAAAGAGGAAAACTATTCTAAGGGTAACTTAATGCTTTAAATATATGAGTCAATTGAAGCTAGACCAAAATGAAAAACCTGGAAACATTGAATGGCCGTTTCGTCCTAGTGTGGGACTCCTCAATAGTGAGCAGCCACGATCCTGCCTCGCGAGATCCGAACCCACGACCTATCAGTCTTGTGAGCGCTTAACCACTAGACCATTGAACCGGTGGTCTCCAAGAGGTATTTCCTGGAGTTCCATTGAGAAGCCGTGACCAATGGAGTTCAACCATATCTATTATGAGATAGTAACTCATTGATGACAGTGGTGAACAGTAGCTCAATTTCGTGGATTAGTTGAAGTTAGACATTAACACCGTTGGATACTGACTCAGTGGTTAATCACTTGTGTGCGAGACTGTCAGGTCCTGGGCTCGAACCTCGCAGGGCGGGACCGTGCATGCGCACCGCTGATTACCATACTGGAACAAAACGGTCGTTCAATGATTCCAGGTTTTCCATGGTGGTCTAGCTTCAATTGACTCATGAATTCAACTATTTAATTACTATAATATCCACAAAAACCCTTGTTTGACTTTATATATTTCACTAAGAGAAACTATTCAAGGAAGTTTCCCACAAAATGGTCACTGGAATACATTACTTTTAAATCATTTGTTTAGATCTATGCTTTCCTGGGTACAACGTATATAGACCGTAGCCAATGCTTGCTTCCAACTCGGATACGAGAACATGTCCCAGCGTGATTCTACAAGGGTGAGAAGAAAGCATTTAAAAGTCCTATTCTTGAACACTTAATCATCCCACTGATCCACAGGTTGGTTTTAAGGTTGTTTACACAATTCCTCTAATTCTACCTAGATTTCTTCGTATCCAACTACTTAAAACAGCAGCTCTTAGCATCCAAGAGCTCAAGCCAGAAGTGCGCATATAAAAGAAGTATGTTGTAACGTTATCTCGGCCTTAATCTATTATTTCATTCCGAATTTGAAAATATCCTCCTCTCAATTTACTTATGTCTCATATCTTCATCATTTCATTCATAATTCTTTCAGATATCACTTCGTTTAATTTTTCGCCTTTATCACCTTTAATTATTGTAACGAAGACATTGTATTCATTTTACTTCATTTACACTATAATTCGTTGTTAATTTCTTAGTTTTTATTTGTACGCACACAATCTTCTATTGTAATCATCCATATTACGCAATCTAATAATATAATCTTACTACATTATCATATTTATTCCTTGTTCATATGTCCTCATGGAACTAGTACTTTAAAAAAATTTCATGCACATATATGATTGTACAGCTTGTTAATAAATTCGCTGAACTTCGTGTTTTCTATATATACAATAAGTTTAACTCAATTAACAATGATGAAACAAGAGAAACGATTTCTTAGAGCTAATCAATAAATTCCAATATTTTAGAACCGATGAAAACCATGATGGGTTGGATAGCTGTTTTTTCTTGTTTGAAATCCCTAGGCCCTGGGCTTCTACGAACCTCTTTACGGGAAACATTCTAAATGTTTTTGAAGTCAGCCTGGTCCTATGTTGTAGCTGACTTGATAGCCGAAATTGGTATAGAGCCTGAAATATGCATTAGCGTAGCAAAATGAAATTAACGAGATATGTACCAAACGAGTCACAACGATAGTAGTCCCGATGATAGTGAGACTAGAAGTTGAAGATATGGTTCGGAAAGGAATGAAAAGATCTAGAGTAGGATAAACGGTGAGTACGGCTGAACCGTTGTCCCTAAATCCGAGCCAAGTTACTCAACGTCCTTAACCACTGGTAGTGATTATAACACGGACCCTAACCATGTGTATTCCATGCCTACCAACACAGTTAAGTTCAATACTCAACAATTTCATTGACTAATGTTTCCGGTTTTTTACCAATCTATTCCTATTTCAGACAATAATGCGAATTCAAGTAGACGGTAGTCAAGCATATTTAAAACGCGATTGTATTTTTTTTTAGAAAGAAAGAAGTTTTTAAATTATCTCGGAGATAAATTCTATTGAAAAAGTGACGATTGATTTTGTTGGGTGCAACAAAATGATTAGGACCAATTGAAAAAGATATCTTTATAAATAATTATACAATTTTTTGTACAAATATAGGAATTGTAAAAACATTCATAAAAGGTATAGTTATTTTACTCTCATTTTTATTTGACGTGAATGGGCAGGCGAATTGGGTGTATCATTGAAAAATGGAGTGTCTACAGGACGAGTTTTTAAACGAGATCTTTTATCATTTCTATGTGTTGAATCAGAATGTTTGGAAATTCTATCCGATGGCATTTCAGAGTGTTTCGATGAAGTATGTTTAGAAGATTTATGTTGCTGGTGATGTTCGTCATGATGACGATTGCTATGTGACTTCTTTTGTAATTTATGCTTGTCTTTAGAATGTTTTCTCTTTTTACGATGCTTTTCATCATTTGAACAACTCGACTCTGATTCACTACTACTACTATCACCACTAGAAGATGAACTTGAAGAAGACGATGAAGATGAAATCGATATATCACCTAAGACGGATGATGATAGTTTATTCTTGGATTCAGATTCTTTTTTTGCCAGAGCTGAATCACGTGATGCTTGTAAATGTTCACGAAGGTCTAAGGTTAAACCACCTAAACCAATTGTGGTTAAAAAATTAATAGCAAATCGTGTATCTTTAGGATTATCACGTGGTAGGAGACCAGCAAAAAATGGCTGAAGTGTCTCATCACGAAGTCTTGCTTGTAACTTCGACAAGCCCATAAATGAGCAAAGTTCCAGAAAAAGATGCTTGAGAAATATACGTCCAGAAGAAGTTGTGTCACGTTCATTCAAACGTACACATTCAAATACACCCCATGATATAGAATCAGAGTATAAAAGATGGGCAAACAAGAAAGCAACATTACGTAATTTTGCAGTTTCCAATCTATGAATAATTGAGTATTGTTCAGAGAAAATCTTTTCAAACTGAGCAACATAACTACGGGGTGGACCTGATTCTTCTACAACCGGTGCAGGAGTTTCTTCTTTCGCTGTAGGCTTACTGACCTCTTTATTACTTCGATATCGGCTACCGGGACCTAAGTCGGAGCTTACAGAAACAGTAGTAGATCCCGTGCTGGATGGGGTACTAGATGGAAAGACAACTCGGCAAAGTCTTTGAGCTAATCGACCATAACGACTTTCATAACTACGTGTTTGAGCACAACAATCTAAAACCATAGAAGCTACTTCATACTCTTCACCAGGTTTAATTTTCAACTGCAGAAGACGATGTCCAGCTTCATCTGCACTTAAACTACTTTGCAGCATCAAGTAGATGGTACGACGTAGGTGGACTAGATTTGTTTCTGTTTGATCAATAATTGTTTGTTGATTCTCTGCAGTTGCAGCGGCACTACGTTTATGTTCTTCATCCTCTTCATCACCGTCATCATCTTCATTACCTGATTCGTCTGAATCTTCACCTTCATTTTCACCATCTGACTCAGCCTCTGAATCTTCATTCGATTCAAATAATGCTGCTCTAATTTCAGCATACTTTGCTTCATTTGCCAAGAATTCTGGATCGAATTTAAACACATTCAAATGTTCCTCTGGATCTACTTGATCAAGAAGTGAAGTTGTATGAGTGATTTGATCACTTTCCTGAATTAAATCAAGTTCTGGCAAGACAATCGGATGATCTTTCCATCCATCACGACGAATCTGCACGAAAATATGTAAAAAATATAATATCAAATTTTTTATCACTGAGAAATCTATTCGTTTATGAGGATACTCATCTAACTTAATTGCAAACATTTACTTATATTTTTAAAATATCATTCGTCCTCAGTTTTGAGCAGTCAAACAGAGAGAACGTATAGCTAAACAATTTGGTATTATATGTCCATATAACTCAAAACCATATCTACAAGAAAGTTCCCTAAGGCTACGAACTAAGCAAATAGTTTTGGAAAGATTGATATGTTGTGTTTGAGGGTTTAATCGAGTCCCTAAATACAGACTCTTAAAAACTTGACCAATCAACTATGGGGTGGGAGAAAACGAAGAATATAAGAAGAATTACTGTCAAAGTCGAAAAACATTTAACACAACTTAAGTGTATAATATAGGTTACCAGGCTGAACAAGACGGACATGTTAGCCTTGACCATGGTCAGGTAAGTAGTCCACTTACTCAAAATAAACCATCTACACTTTCGTCTCTCACCTATCATTTGATTCTGGAACAACACGTGATTGAGTTAGGTTTGGCATTCATATCATTATGAAGCTATATTTCCCTGTTAAGATCACGGTTAATTGATTCAATTATTATGAATGGTCTGGTACAAATCAACAGTATTAAAACACGTATAGAAAATGTTTGTAAAAACACCATCCAAAACAACTGAATTATCAGTTGATATTCATTTGAAAGTGAATTCACGGCCAAGAAGCCAACAATTTCAATGTTAAAACTCATAGCGCGTGCTAACGTATAACTGTTTTTGTTTGTTGCACTATACTACTTGTCGTTATTCAGTAGTTAATATTATTATCAACCATTTTCATGACGTGAGTGTTGAAACGAATATCTTTCTGTAACAACGAACTATTACGAATAGAAATCATTTGTAACCATATTTCTATGATTTAGCTCATTTTACCACTCGCAATAATGTTTCTTCCTACTTTTACTGTTCGATCTATATTGCCCCTAAATGCCCTGGTATGGCCGAGGGTGGAGAAAGTCCGCTCTCCCTCTCGAAATGTTCTTGCATGGCCACGTGCATACAACCACTGTTAGGGAAGAACTACTCACCGCCTTCTCACAGCATTACTGTTATTTACCAAATTGAGAGGACTAAAAGCGAATTCCGGCGCTCTAACCGGGTTGTTGGGTATGGAGTGTTCACCTAATGGAGTTGGAAAGCCCTGATTCTAAACCAATGGCGCACATGGGCTCCAGTATCATGAAGGAAATGTCGTGTGAACCTATTGTTGGTCACCAGCTACCATGGTACTGCATCTCCTCACGCTACTCGAGTGCCTTGTGGACCAGACCTTCAGGTCGAAGACTCGGGGTGTGGCCCTCTAAGAAAATCACCTGCTTCGGTCTGGGCATCCGGGCAGTATTATAGCCCACACACAAATCAAGTTACTAGTGTGGCGCACATGTAGTTGGTGCTCTTGTGTACCAATATTTATGTGTTCAAATAAATAATAAAACGATCTATATTTGTTTGCAACTCCTTAAAACTTTGTGCCTTGAATGGCTTGTCCTATTTTTGAAACACATATGAATCATTGTTACCTGTTTGAAGCAAACGTGTGATATCCTACCGTTTATAATATATGATATAGATTTATTCTTATTTCAGGTTAATAACTTCTTTTTGATTAAACTTTGGATAATAAAATAGATGTCTAAATACATTATGACTCAGGTTTTGTAACTTCATACTGTTTATATTATTTTCTAAAATAGTTTCATATTTTCAGAAAAATTTCATCTTTTAGTCTTGGCATTACATGAATAACTACTCGGTTGTGAGGTTATAAAGGCAGAACAAACTTCACATGAATATACCACGATAAACAGATATACACACAACAAGGAGCTTAATTACTTAATTAAAAAGTCGAATTGATTCGATGATAAATAGATTTTATGTCATATTCTAATTTCAGGTCATTTTTGTGAAACCGCATGAATCCCAGTAAATGCAGAACATGAAACTACTGTGAAAATTTAATCATAGCCACTATCCAACTTGACCTAAAGATGCTTATGAATTAATGACAATATCGAGGCAATCCGCTGAGAATGCCAAAATAGACTGATCAATCGCAGTTTTTAACATCAACAAGGGGAAGAATATTAATACAACCCTTACAAATGGCATGATTGGACTTGTTTTAATTAATTAGAGATGAAACCTATGACGGTTTCCCTTACTAAAACAATAAAAGTTTTGATAACAATGAGAATTAAGGTCAAAAACCTCACCTGAAACATAACTTCTAACATATAAGAAATACGTTTATCACATTGACCTTCATTTAGAATACGTCGAAGATGTTCGAAAATTCCGTGAACACCTTTCGGTACAAGACGTGAAAGCATAGCACCACATTCTTTAAGGACAGATACTGCCACTTCTACACTGTCATCGGTTGTTTGCTCTAGTAGTAGCGTCAATAATTCCAGGATTATTAATTCATGAACAACTTTTTGGTTGACCAAATGTGCTAGAAATCGTGCAGTAGACAAACATCGATCTTTCTGATTACGTCGAAATGCTTTACGGAATTCATTGATTAATCGTTTAAGAACCAGTTCTCCGACCTGGTAATGACGATAATAAAAAGACAATTGATAAAGTGCTAGATTTCACTTTATTTTATTTTAACACAGATATTGGTACAAGGAGGCACCAAATAAATATACGCCACACAGATCTCATTTGATATGGATTTCACTATATTTGCATGATAATAATAATTGAATAATCAGTCGGTCAGTCAGCCACAACGTAGCACCAGGTACATACGTGCACCGGTCCAGGTTGCCATACCTCATTAGCACAGCAAGATGAACACCGGATTCATAGGAGTGGTTAGGTCAAAGGTGGTAATATATAAGAGAAAGATTGCAATAAGAATATAGTACAGGAAGAAAGAAAGATAGGAAGCGATTTTAATCTCACAGTTTAAGGGAAGACAGGGAGTGTATACACCGATGCCATTGTGACCGATTCTGAGCCATGTCACCAAGAGTCTCCAACCATTGGTTAAGAAAGTCACGCGGACTCCAACCAAGTAGTCTGCATCTACCAACATGGCTCAAACTAGAGGTTAGTGTCTTCAAGCACTGATGCCACGTTTTGGTTTGGCCGCCCCTAATTCTCTTCCAACCATCTCTAACAACGGTTAGCATTGCACGACGTGGTAATCGGTGTTCAGGCATACGTAACACGTGGCCCAACCATCTCAGTCGATGAAGATTAACAACCTCATCAACTGATTTACCATCATTACCTAATACCATGCGTCTAACCTCACTATTACTTACCCGGTGATCCCAACAGACGCCAGCAATATTTCTAAGGCATCTGTGGTCAAATACTAGTAGCTTACGGGTGTCTTCTACTCTTAATGGCCATGTTTCGCTACCGTAAAAACAGAACGAACTGCCGCGCAGTATACTTGTCCTTTTATTGATAGACGGATATCTCGCCTTCGCCAAAGATGACGTAAGTTGGCGAAGGCCAAACGAGCTTTTCGAATCTGTGCTGAGATTTCGTCAGACACTAACTCATTAAAGCTGATCAGACTTCCAAGATAAGTGAAGTTGTCAACGAGTAGGACTACTTCACTCTTTATCCTTAGTTCAGGTGTTAATGCAGGCCAGTCTTGAAACAACACCTTGGATTTAGAGGGAGAGAAGCGAATTCCAAACATTCTGGCACTGTTGCTCCGTACTACCAGAAGACTGCATTTTGTCAGCGTCTTCACTAAACAGGACTATGTCATCTGCGTATTCTAAGTCGATAAGTGGACCTCCTGGTAGGAGATCAATACCCGAGGATTCAGTCGACGAGTGTTATTTCCATCAATAGGTCTATGATGAAGTTAAACAAAAATGGAGAAAATGGGCAGTCTTGACGGACACCACTTGAGGTTGCAAAAGTAGATGACAGTTCGTCATAAGCTCTGACTCAACTAGTAGTGTTCGAGTAAAGAGCCTTCACAAGGTTTATGTACTTCTGGGGTACGCCTTTCAATGACAGACACTGCCACAGAGTCTCGCGGTCTACCCAGTCAAATGCTGCTTGTAAGTCAAGAAAGACCACCATCGTCGGGCGCCGATAGGTATGTCTGTGTTCTAGAACCTGACGAATGGTGAATATGTGGTCGATGCAGCCACGACCAGGTCTGAAGCCAGCTTGGTTCTCTCGTGTTTGCAGTTCACGAGTCTTAGTTAGGCGTTTGATAATTATTCATAATTGGATTATACGCCGAAATTATACTACAATTAAGGATGTAATTTTTAGAAATTATTCCATGGTTTGTTAATTTGCAGTTGTTTATCTAGAATCGATTCACCGAAAATTTCCCGAAAATATTTGAATCTCAAAAGACGACCAATTAATTTAAAGAAAAATTGTTAAGTCCACTCGCTAAAATGAATCTCTACTATAATTAAACAGCCGGACGTAGTTGCTAGATTGACGTTGTGGTCAGGTTTGTATGTAGTGATGACCCAGATGAACTACATTGTCCAGAACACTTTCTCTTTTAGGTCTTATCATTCTAGCCAGGTTGGTTGGAGAACGGTAAAACTTAAGGCGGCAACTTAAGATATGAGGGAGAAGTTATGCCGGCGTTTAGATATGATGGCAGTAAGGTATTCTTAGAAAACAGCATTTACAACGAGGTTAGAAAAGGTCGGGCTTAGAAATAGCACACTTCATCTTGCCCAATGGACTCCTAACTCTAGCGTAAGAGCTTTTGCAGTACGCAGCTAACACGTCAAAAACCCCTCGTTAGATCATGTTTGACCGAAATCAAGAAGATATCACGTGAAATCTGTGGTCACATCTAAAGGCCGCCAAGACTGCTAATAATACAGTTTCCTCTCTTCGGTTTGGGCACCCGGGCAGTATCACAGCCCTCACACATATCGGATGAGATTTGTGTGGCGCATATGTATTTGGTGCCTCTTTGTACCATTATCTATGTGTTGAAATAAATAAATAATCTCAAGAAGAAACATCTCTCCACAGGGTGGGTAACCGGGCAGTAAAAACCACCCAGACAACTTATGAGCTGGATTTCAGTCGTTTATGTGCTGTCTGAATAGGCGGGACGTTGAAAATTCAGAAAGATTGGGACAAACGCGGTTGCCTCTCTGTCTTTTCGCTCTATGCTCCCATTGACAGGAGTTTGCATGTAGTAAAGGATAAAATTTACAGAAAGCTTTTGCTCTCCTACAAAAAGCCAAACAATCAGACGTCATAATCATAGAAGGCAACCTTAGTGCTTAATTATGTTGTTGAAACCAAAGTGGGAGATACTTAGGTGGATTTTAGAGTCCCAACTCAACAAACAGTCAACGACGACTGTCTGCTACAGAAAGGTTCAAATAATGGTTTAATCTAAGCAACCACTAACTTTAAACATAAAGATATCGTCTAACATGGTGACTTCCACAACATACTAAAGGAAGGACGCAGATAGACCACACTGCCATAGGTTATCGTTGAACAGACTCGATAAACGAATGCCGCTCATTTTAGGGTACATGTTTAAACTTTGATCACGTTGTAGTGCGAGCATGTATGTGTTTTGGCCTTACGAAATACATGAAAGATATGGCAAGAAGATCGATCAGAGTGACGAAGCGGTTAGTTGGTCGCCAAAGTTATGTCTAACCCGATGTAGGTTAGTATATCTAGACGGCTGTGAAAACACCAATGATATTTACGAGAGACGATAGCCAAAAGGTTAAAAAATAAGTGGATTTTAATGGCGTCTAATGAAGTGATCGATGCTCAGAAACTCATTCTGTTGGGCTCAGAACACGATGAGTGGAAGCAGCTTAAACGCAGACTAGCAAAAAGTCTACGCAATGACAGTGAACGGTAGAGGGTAGATAAAGCAAGACCGATGGAAAAGGCGGTACTTAGTGATAATATTAGATAACAGTTTAATCGTTCTCCAAATACCTTTCAGTTGCCTACTTTTAACAAGCAACCTGAATGGAATGTCAATATAAGCTCATGATCCCTATTGAGGTAGAAAAAGCCATAGCAAGAGAGATAAGCTAACTCGAGAGATCTTTAAGGATGGTAGTCTAGTTTTGGCGATATTAGCTAGAATATGGGGACCGGATATGATATCATCTGACTAGTCTCAATCGCTGATCCTTATAGACTAGATGTGTGGCGCATATATATCTGGTGCCCCCTTGTATCAATATTTGTGTTCAAATAAATAAATAAACAAACTATAAGAAAGGAGAAAAGTGCTCTTGTGATAACCATAGAGGAGTCAGTTTAAATAAATATCGTGTCTAAAATATTAGCCTCAACAGACCTCCAACGTTTGTTTATCTAGGGGTCATAAAGGGCGAACCTGAGAAAATAAGGCAGGTTTCAGACCTGAACATGGATGTACACACTAAATATTCACTCCTTGTCAGGTTTTAAGACGTAGACGTACATACCAGTACCAGAAAATAGCTGTATTCTTTGATCTTAAGGATGTATTCAGCTACACTAACAGAGGTTTTGTGACAGTTTGTCATTGAAAGGAGTACAGAAGTGGATAAACTCTGTAAAGTATCTAAACATGAACACTGCTGATTGTTAAAGCTTATGGAGAGCTGTCATAAGAATTTATAACATGAGTGTCTTTTAAGTTTGTCGACTTTCTCCATCTTGACTTACGTTCGTGATAGACATCTTTTTTAGCGATCGCGCTTTCGTCCTCTGAATTTTCAGGGATTGATCTACCACTTGACAGACTTACTTATTGACCTTGAATAGCCAGATTATATAGGTCTACCTGGCAAAAATGCTGGCTTAATGCAGGATTTTCTAATTGCTTTAAGCAACAATAAATATTCTTGGGCTGTGTAATTCCCTTTAAATGAAAAATTTTGCTTCAAGCCTTATCCGCACCACCACCCAGCTGATCATAAGGAGTGAAGTGGATGGGCGTGTTGATTACTTTATTTACCTTGAAAGTCACTCTAGTCTTGATGATTGATGTAATTAAATCTCAGAAACGTTGGTTGGCTTTTCTGAACTTGCGCCACAGTGATTTCAAAACTACATCTTTTATTAATTTATGGTATGCATTTTTCCCTCTAGAACAAAGAGATTTGACCAAGATATTCTGTTATCGTGAACGTACAGCATCACACAAATGTGCGTTAACCAAAGTCTAGCGATATATTAATATTTAATTTCACATATATAATTTCATAAACTGATAGCATTTTGTTTACCTTGGGAAATTTCGAATTGACAACAGCAACAAGGGCCGAAAAAACATGGGTGAAAGTTGGTGACGCCGACTGTGCGGTTAAAAGGGATCTAACGAATAAACCTCTACCTCTAACAATATTTTCCATAAGTAGCTGTTTGACAACTTCAGATAAGTTGGATACATTCACTTTATTAATAAAACCATGGATGGATTTTTTCAGTGCTTCCCAAGCAATTCGTTGATAAGCCTCAGATGATTTGTCAGTTATTTGGGCTTGCATTTGGCGAAGCCGACCAGGGGGAATATACGCACCACCAGTTTTACCAAATATGTTAGCGAATTTGTCAGGATTTTTCGACGAATCATCTTTCTTAGGGTTCTCCGACACAGCGCTACTCTTCTCATTTTCTGGACTATATCTAGCACGTTTAGTCCCACGATCCATTGCGACAATAATTGTTGAAGAACTGTATCAAGTTGATTAGGTTCACTATCTTTGTCAGCTTGGTATTACTAAAAAGGCACATACACGACGACGTTAGGTTACGCATAAAACAGATACCCAATGAGTGTTTGAACTACCAATACGGGATTATAGCAAGGAATACTTATGTATATAAATGAAGAGGATAAAGTACAGGTGGTAGTTTAAACTGTTCAAGAGAGTATTCATTATCAATTTAAAAATAAATTTTCTCACAGCAGAGTACAGGACAACCCCTTCGCTCTTAATTTGCGATAAAAACAACGTGCTACAGTTATATACCCTGGAGAATACAACAATCGTGCTTATGAATTAATGTTGGCACAACATATGAGATCTAACAATGGTGGAAACCACAGCAGCTTATGCCGTCTTTAATCATCTTTAGTGTCGTGATGATACCAGTTAGTTCATGTAAGGTAGAATACACAACCCATCTCTGTGAATCCTGGCATTGAGAGAACTAACCAGTTTCTGAATGACTACTAGTATTTAGTGGTATTATGCTAATAACGCGGAATCTCGGTAGTGTTTAGGATCGGTGATAACAACTTAAGCTATTCTATTATTTTTCTAACACTAATTTTAGTGGTTAAATCATGTTTCAGGTATATTATTTTGGCTGCTTCCACACCACCCATTATTTACGAGATCCATAAACAGGTAGAAAAAGAGGTATTTAGTTTATAGCACGTTGTCATGGCATGAAAAACCGTACACTATTAACAACTTTCGCTTCATCACAACTTAGTTGGAATCCCAACTCTGCTTTGGAATGTCATTAGGTATGGTTTGAAATAAAACAAGTGGATATCAGACTGTAGTTTTCAAGCACATTATTCATAGACATGAGATAAGTATCCCAGCTTGAAGAGAACTCCCTTATTAACTGAAGTTCGTCTTATATTGAACACAATTCTTATTTACCTATCGTATGAATTCCATTTTATTTCTCACTACTACTTTGTTTACGTGGTGAAACTTTTCCATGCTGTGTCAAAGTCTACATTTGCTACACATAACTAAATCCGTATTAAGCTAGTAAAAATATACCGTCAGATTTCAACAGTAAGAAAGTACAAACCAATATCTTATATTCACACAACCAATGTAAACCCAATAACATCAGGTTGTACGAATTCGTGGCTCCAAACAGTATGCAAAAATGCTGTTCCACCCAAAAAATAGTAACTCGGTAAAAAATTTGTATCATGTAGTTCGTACTAATCAGTACGTTACAACACTGACTTTAGACACGTGATGACAAAGTAGGTGTGTCATAAATGCTTTTTAATGTCGTCACTGAAGCTACTGAAGCAAAAACAAGGATGATAAAATACAAACATTGACAATGGAGGACCGCCCTCAATACAACAGATCTAACTAACCTTAAGTAGCCAATGTACAGAACTATTTGAAATAGCGCCTAGAAGGCAACATCCAATACCTATATCACGAGCTTGTATAAATCGCCCAATTTCTTTGCCTTCGCTTCTTGTTGTTTCAGTGTGGTTCCATGCATTTTTGTAATTTTCAGTAAGTGGTAGTCCGCCCTGCTGAACTAACTGAAGTCACTTTGGTAGTTATTTGTGGGTTTGTATATCATGTTATCTGACTTGTCTCGAGTTGTGCCTACCATGGTTGTGTATTTGGCTGAGCTCATTTTTAGCCATTCTGATATACTGGTGGGGGTTGATACGGCTGCTTCCAACTGATTCATGTGCATCTCTTATCAATTCGGTTGTTTCCTTTTTCTACACTCTGGACAGACGTGCCGGAACCACTGTCGAAGGTTCCTTAACAAAAACCCATAGTGCTGCTTAGGCACTGCACTATCACAGATACAATAAACCCAGCTGCCACAGAAAGTACATTCGAATGATGAACCCCCGGCTTTAATGAACAACGAGCGTGAGATATGATTATCGTTTCCATGTTGTTTCTCCTTAATGGTTATCATCACAGATACTTTGCAACGCCTTTTCCTCCCACTTTGTTTTGACCAACCAGTTTTCCTAGGAGTAGGGACCTGGAAGGAGGCCTGATCATGATTGCTTAGTTGGAGATTCATTCTTTGTATTTGAGTCGAGCGGTCCATATTATACACATTACTCTGAGGTTGGTTATCTGGTGTCATTTTGAGATTTCTTATAATCCCTTCATTAGAAACGACTTCAACTTCTTATTAATTTATGAGTTTAGACCTCTTCCTCTGCTAATTGTCCTGTAGTGGCCTACTTTAACCAAGAAAACGCGATTGATTTAATTGAAACAATTATTATTATAACCAATCGTACCAGTGATTGTTTTACTGTGCTCGTCTGTTTAACTGTGTCAAAGACAGCCATATTCCTACTCCATTACTTCTCCACGGATTGTGACCTGTACGTTCGTACTCTTGCCCGCTGATTCCACTTGTACTCCTTTGGCACAATCTCGGTATCCTTCGATACAACGAGATCGACAACGAATAAATCTGGTTACATTCGAACTTCGCTTTCTGATATGTTTGGTACGCGTCTCTCTGTAGTAAAGCTCGTAGTCAACCTCGACTCAACACCACGCTAAAGTCCTGTTAGCTATGGTGTGAACGCTGTTGGCAATGCCATTACTATGCATGCTCATCAGAAGATACATTTCAAGGACGAAGTACGCGAGACGAAAGATTTGGAGAAGAGAAATAACAGAGATATGTGAACATGTGCTACACGAGAACACAATCTGCAACACGCTTAAAAAATACAAACTTACTTTTGACCATCCTAGCATACGATTACACGTGAATACATTAACTTATCCACAATTCCTGGATTGGGAAATAAGCGTATGTGTGAATGATGCAGTTGAAGCAATTAGGAGGAAGGTAGGTGATCGAGACATCAAGGACCATCGCAAAGTGGTTCAACTATGTTAGGAAATTGTTTTCAGACTTGCCATCTTGGTTGTCTACCAACAAAGTGAATAAGCAGTTCGTATCCTTGGAAGTGCTTAAATATCCCAATGTTGGCGGAAAAGTAGATTTTTCCGGTTGTTGGGTGAGAGATTGTCGGGGCCACATGAAACTCAAAGATGGTGCACTAATGCTAGTCCTTTTGTTAGGTTTTCTATAGACTTATATATCTTATGTTTAGGTTGAATGAGTTTTTCTCTGAACAGTAAGGATCCTGGGGACCAGTAGTCATTAAATTACCAGGCAGGAAATCGGTTTGTTGCAGTGCTACTATATTCATCGTATTCTTGATGAGAGCCTAAACTAAATTATTTGTTTACACTTTTAGTTTCAGGAAAATTTTAGGAATTTAGTAGCTTCCAGTGCAAGGTAGCTTGGTTGTTAGTTATTTCGGATTTTTTTCTAACTTGAAACCTGAGTGTTTATCTCAAAGTAGGTTTCTGAAACTAGAAGCTAGCATATTAACAGGTAAGAATTTTGTTGCCTTTGGTGTAAAATTTGATAGAAGAAAAAAATTGAATTCAGAAGGGCAAAGAGAATTGCTACGTTCAAGTTTTTGCTCGTTCCCGTTATCGAAGTACGGTATATCGATCTATTTGCAATTTACGAACACAAATTAACAATAGATCCAAACTCTTATTTAGGTACCAAAGTTTATTCGCAATTTACAAATAGTCAACCCAAATGTCGCTTTTCAATTTAGTAGATTTCTGGAGCAAAGAACCCCAAATACCAAACCAAAGGCAAAAAGAAACCGAAAATGTCCAAACATAATGATATAAACAAACAAGTCCCGGAGTTGAGTAAAACAAATACATACAAAAACACCGTGAAATTAGGAATATTTGATACAAAGGTTTAAATCAGCCGAATGTCTTCAATTCTCCCGTAACAAGAATACACTGGTCAGGAGTAGTAAGCAAATAAGTTAATTTTTTTAAGAAAATAAAATGAACATAAAAGTGGATAAAATTAACAGCCAAACAGAGATGACAGGAATCAAGATAGTAAGGGGGTGGTAGTACGTCATAGTAACAGTGGTTGGTGAGTTGCGAGCTATGCATCAGGTTCAAGTGATTCTGAACGGGATAGGATAGGCTTTCCTCGACGGGCTTCCTTATCTAGTAGCGGTGGATCACCGATTCCTTCAGGCAGAAATCTAGTCATGCTTATCGGTAAAGATATGGTAAATTATAGTGAGATGTTGTTCTGAGTTTTTAAGAATATATCAAGTTTTCTCTTAAAGGATTCCTGGAAAGTTGCTTGGACTAACTCAACAGTCAGCGAAATTCGGAATTTGACTGCTCGTAAAAAGTAGGTTTATCTACAACCCATCCTGGCATGTTGTGTCTCCGATCTCTGGGTGCAACCCCTAAGGTTTGTGCTAGAACTGAACGTAATTAAGTGCATTAGGGGATTCTCAGGAGTGTTTAGGATGCTATAAGTCACTAGTTCACCTCTGTGACTCTAATAGTCCAGTGGATAAAGGCTCAGTGATTTAAAGCTCTCTTCATAAGACTTAAATCTAAGTTCTTGAACTGATTTTGTGGCTCGCCTTTGAATGCGTTCCTAAGTATTCTTATCCTTTTGGAGGACGAAACAACACATATCTGTACTCCAAATGTGGTCAGGTAAAATATTTGAAGACTCAGTGGAAACTACTACCCCCAAATTGATCAAAAACGCGCTTCAATTTTATCAGTGCAAAAGTTATTCAAAAAGCATTTTCATCACCGTTAGTGTATGACTTCGGATCATGCGGCATCAACAATTTTAGATGTTTGTCAACTTAGGATGCTTGTAGAGGACAATTGTTCAAGTCGTGCGGGTAGTCTTAAACATGCCTTAGATGGACTACTTCAGACTATGAAGCATCAAAAGTTAGTCCATTGTAATTCACACAACTTTGAAGTTGAGTCAAGTCGCCCTAAAGTGCAGGCTTATAATCTCGGTTACGAACGTCTCACCAAAGTTTTACATTGCCAGAGAAAAATAACAAATCAGACGATGCTTACTGATGAAGGACATTTTTGTTAACTAAGAAAAGAAGAGTTTCTAGTACTAACCCTCAAGAAGTCTGACCAAAGCATTCTGTAGACTAAGAAAACGTGAAGTTTACCTTGGCCCCAAAGCTTTGACTATTTAGATCCGAAGTAAACCACTCTGTTAACGGCGACCTGATACCTAACCTTTCCAGCTTTTTGATGGGATATATATATGAGTGACCTCATTTAAAGCTCTTGAAAAGTCGATCTCCTCTCTGTCATCAAGGATGGCCGTTTATATACCCACAACAGTCAGCAGGTTGATTACTTGGAAGTTACCCTTCCTGAAACCGTGTTGTAAGAGTAGGAATGAACTGCTACAGGCCAGTAGCTTGCAAGTTCTCTGAGTCAACTTCCTTTGAAAATCGGTATAATGTGAGCCAACTTCCAATTATCTGGTACCGTACCTTAACCTAGCAAATGCAAGAACATAGCTACAAGCTGTGTTGCCAGGATTGAAGCTGCTCTACCTAGTACAGGAGGGTAAACCATATTTAAGCTAGGAGAGGTGTCGCTGTTTGGATTCAACAGATTCCAACACGCCACGTCAGAGCTTAGGTTCACTTCTGAACTTCATATTAAGCTGAGGGTGAAGCTCTCTTCGATTTAGTTTGTATATAGCGGCTGTAATGTTTAAAAATAATGATTTGCCAGGAACTCGACGGCATCACCGTCGTTGTTGTTCGGACCGTTAAGGCCTGGAAACTAGAATATTCTGGTTTCGGCTTGCATGACAGAAAAAGCTTTAGGCATCGGCGACAAATTTATCGATTAGCTCTCTCTGATAACGATACCAACCGTTTAATTGAAAGAAAACAGTCCATGGGTGTACAAGTCGTTATCAAATATCCTCTTAAATCACCCCCCAACTGAGGTCCGCCATTTCGTTTGGGAGAAAAGTTCAGATGAGGAAAACTTCTAATGACAAGAAGTAGGATAGCATCTGGATTAGTTTCCTCCACTGTTCAATTTTTTAGGGTTTTTGATGGTGAAGTTCTGGTAGGATGTCTGTATTGAAGTGACCTGGTGTTCTTAGTGTGTATTTTGGCATCATCAGACCACCTATTATTTGCTTATGACCTAGCGAGAATATTCCGAGGTGTCATAGTCCGTCTTCGTAAGACTTTTTCCACAGTCCTAACACCTACCTAGTTGCCCACCTCTGTACATGGTTTCAGAGATTTATGTCTCTTCTAATAAGAGGGATTTCAATAACTACATAGATGCCGAGTACATGTTTTAAAGATTGTCATTAACAATTCTTGAGTGATTACGCTAAGTTGTCTATGTGTAAAGTGAGACGTTGCACGTACTTTGGCTGCATTTAAAATGAATTACGAGCCAAAAATGTAGATCTCTGTGGCTAGCAGTCCCAGATCACGCTCTGACTTGACAATCGA